CAATAACATTACCATCATATCATCATTACTTTTATCATCATATTGCCACTGCACTACTTGTCTGACTATTCATCTTGTGTTTCTGTTTTTGTTCTTTTTACCTCAATGTTTTGTTTTGTTCTATTGCATTGTGTTTTGTTGTGTTCCGATACACAAGCTGCTATGACGACTTAATTTCCCTCCGGGGATGAATAAAGTACTCTATCTATCTATCTATCTATCTATCTACTGCTACTACTACTAACTAAATGATACTATCTGCAACAGTACTTTAATGTCGATCCTTTTACATAATAACGAGCAGGTTTTGCAGAATGAAGTTTTTCAGAGTTAACAGTAAAAAGGGGGTTGTGTTGGTGAGGTCGCCTCAGTGCCTTTGAGCCTGGCTTCAGCAGATCAAAGGTTGAGGGTTGAACTCTGGCAGCACTGGACCTCAGCTCCTGTCCTCCACACCTGCAGTACGCAGACCTGTCCACAGGAGGCGCTGTCTGCTCAGACATCCGCCGCTGGTAGATCCGCGCTGCGTAGATCTGCGCTCATCTACCCGCCGCGCTTCTGTGTGGGGCGTTCAGCTCGGCGGCGTCGCGCCCACCTCCCTCTCTCCAGCTCCGGGAATCGGACTGACTTTCTGGCTCCGGCAGCACTGACAAACCCCGCTCTGCTCCTCCAGGACTGACGAACGCTCAGAGTCTGGGATAAATCTCCATTTGAAGTTTTCTTTCCATTTCCTGTTGGTTTCTCTTCTCGCCGTCCTAGCGGCACAGCAGCAGCAGCGGCGGCGGCACTGATTCCTCTCTGGCGTCGGACGGAGCGGGGATTCAACTTAGACGAACCCGCAGACATTTTGTTATTTCTGAGAATTAGACGCGTTCCTTTTTCCTTCCTCAGTGCGGGGCAAAGTGGACGCTCGTGAAGGGCCGACACAAGACGGAGGAAGAAGAAGCCATTACCGAGCTAGCTCCAGCCCCGGACGCGTCCGCGTGTGGAACGTTATTCGTTTACCCGCGTTTAGCTCGCGTCGCTGCCGCTGGTGCGTCGAGGCGGAAAACAGCGATGAATCATTTTGACGGACAGCGTCTGAAGCATTAGCTGAAGCGGAGAGGAGCCCGGCGCTGGTGCTGCTTTCCTGCCCACAGACCCAGTGAACAGAGGGGACAGTCACCGCTCCTCCACCACCCAGACAAGAGCCCGAGCCTCTTCCACCCCACTTATCCTCCGCTTAGTGTTGATCATCTATTTATTCCTGCTAGTTTTGCTCGTGGGGGGGGGGAGCTGGGTCGCTAGCTACCGTGTAAGCTAGTCGTCCGGCTAACGCTGGACAGCTCCTGGTGAAGGCTGGGCTAGCTGTGGACAAAGGAGCAGCGCGAGGAGAAAAATTACAAACAGGGCACACAGTTGATCGTGTTTAGGAAGGAGAGCAACAAACAAGGGACTGACATGATGTTTCCACAATCCAGACACTCAGTAAGTGTTGTTTCTGCCTTTAACGCGACATCTGTTCAGACATTATATGCCTGTTTCAGCTGATTTGTTACGTATTGAACTTGTTTGTGTATTAGACAGCATGTTGTATCTCAGACAGGCCCATGGGGAGATGATTTCTGCACAGTAGTAACACGATGTTGGTTTATAATTGCAGTTTTTTAGTTCAGGTAAGTTCTGCAGAAGATGTGATGTGAGATTATAGTAGACATCTGGGTTTTTTTTGGGGGGGGGGGCTCTTAACTTGATGGCATCCTCCAAATCCAAACAGCCCCGATGTTGGATGGTTTCCTATAACACAACCATCAGTGCCAGTTTATTTTACCACCTCAGAAAATGCCTTAACACAGATATGTATTAGCTGTAGTCACGTCACAACGTTTTTCATTAAGGGGAAACAAAAAACTTCTTTAATGGGACAGAAATGATCTTCTTGCCCCAGCTTATTTATAATGTGTTCCACTTGTTTTTATTTTTCACATGCATCTTGTACCTCAGACAAGCCCTTTAGGGGATGTTGAGGTAATCATGTACAGTAATAATTATAGTGTTAGTTAGCTTAGGTAAATTATGCAGAAGATGTGACATGAGATTACAGAGAGAAAACATAATGTCGGCTCCTAAGTTTTCCCAAATGATTATTGCTTCCTCTAAATCAAACAGCTCCATCATCAGATTTTTTCACCTTTGTGTCAGTTCAGTTTCAGCCTGTTTCATCCTCCAAAAACGCTTAAGCTCAGATATTTATTAGCTGTCAAAACATGGAAACTGGACATGTATTGGTTATGGTTACAGTCATCATAAGGCAGCTGCATCAGTCAAAATTCAGTTTTGTGCAGGTGGGTGTTTTTATGACTGTAAAAAAGCAAGCATCTCCCCTGTTCCCTAAATCTCAAGTTTCCATGGTAACAGAAACTCAGTCCAGGGCATGCATTCATCAGTGATGAGGGCTGTCAGCCCATTGGTCAAACATGAATGTGTATTGACTGGCAGCTAAGGATTCAAACACAATTATTTCAGTTTTTTGACCTAAAATGTAAAATGAAAACGACTCTGTCGTGCATGGTGCCGTCAGAAACCTGCCCATAGGTCTGCTCATTTAATATCCTACCTGTATTCACACCTCCCAGTTTTGCTTGAAATGTCACTTTTCTCCTGCAAGAGCAAATATAACAAAGAGGTATTTATATGTAAGTGGAGCACTGGTAAACACAACACCAAGAGCGCTGTCATGTTGCCAGGGACCGTGCCCTCTACTTTTTCCACGGCAACGTCTTGTTGCCACCACTAGTTCTTTTACTGCTGAAAGGGGAAGAGTTGTTTGCTGAAAATAGAACCTGAATGTCTTTTGTGACAAGAATGGTTTGCCCTTTGGCGGTCAGTCTGTGTGGCAGCCTGATTGTGCCGCTGCTGATGTGTGGGAGCAGGATGTGAGGATTTGGGAACCTCTGGTCGCAACCTGGCTTGTCAGACGAGTGAAATCCTTTTATTTGCACTGCATCCCACAAGTGTAACTTAAGTATTTCAAAACTAATCCTCTCAAATAATACTTCTTTTTAATCTTTTGGAACTGTAAATCCAAAGTCATGGTCTGAGGGATCGGATCTCAATTGTGTCCTTAATGCATCTTCTTCCCTCTTTTACACCAAAATTAGCAGGTATACGCAAGTTTTTTAAAATGCAGTTAAACCTGCTAAAAACAGGCCAATTGACACCTTTCCCACTGCCAGTAAAGGAGTTTACCTTTCAGTGTGTCATGTTAGACGTCACAATCGCACAGACAACTTAGGGGCTCTCTCACCTTGCTGTCTTGCCAAATTAGTGTGTTCACACGGGTCTCACTGCCAATCGGAGCCCGTGTCTACTGCAGTCATTTGACCTGGGAGTGAACGCCAATTGAATCCATTCCCCTTGCAGACAAAAGCCTGATGTTAGTGGGTATTGGTGGATTTTCTAACCAGTGGAAAAGGTGCTTTGGTGTGCAGTCACACCTGCACACAGAGCTGTGTGCTTGTGATGTGATCACCGGAGATGGATGTTAATGCCAGGTTTGATCTGCTTCCAAACCAGCCCTCCTTTCCTCTGGGTGAGTCATCTGATGTGGTGGGAGCTCTGTCACCCTTTCCAAGGTGAGAACATGGGTCACGCCACTGCTGTCCGCCTGCCGATGAGGTTATTTTTCTAATCCAATTGAATGCTCTTATCCCGCTTCATTGTAGAATTAAGACCCAACACAGGTTTAAAATGAGGATTGTAAATTTAACATATCTTCCCTGGTGCTGCAGCAGGTTCCATCTTAATCCACCATAACCAGTTATTTACAGCCCCCCCACAAATACACCTGTGAACTCACTGCCTGCCCTCTGCCATGGCTTTAAATATACATGCACTCTACATACACATTTCCTCTGCAAATCTCACTTCTCTTCTGCTGCTGCAGCTGCTGTCACAGGGGCCTGAGGATGGGGAGAATTTGTGACACCCATATAGATATGAGTGTCAAAGATAAGAAGGTGGAGGAGGAGAGAGTAACAGCACTGCGTCATAATGACACATGATAGATCTCTCAAACTGACTCAGTCACCACAGAGTCAGCTTTTGTTTTATTTTCCTTTGTTCGTCCTGTATTAACGTCAGTGTCTAAGTTCCTGACTAGCATGCGGAGTGAACAGAAGCATTACATTTTCACAGCGGACATGCACAATCCAGGATTCTCTCATGTATGATGCATCTAATTTACAGCAGCGGAGGACTTGCAGGGGAAAATGGTGGTGGCGGTGATGATGTGTGGTCACATTGCATTTAAATAGTATTAAATCCTTTCCTGTGTGAGTGATTCACACAGACAATTTCCACTTGGATGGCTGTGTTGTCTTTTCAGAGATGCACAGTAGGGGTTTGTACCGTTATTGGAGTTTAATGTTTTGTTTTGGTCATATGGGTCATATCTTTTGTTCTAAAGTGCACATTGTTAGCACTTATTTAAATTAAATATTTATTATGTTTTAGTAATATCCAAAGAACACAAATGAGAAATTATTATTATCGTGCCTGTCAGGGTTTTTTATATTCATGACACTTCACAATACACACTATAAAACTAACAATGCCAGCAGAGCAGCAAGAAGGCAAAATATCGTGGCAACACAGAACATGGATGGTTCGGACAAAGATTTTGAAGTCTTATTCAGTTTTCTATCTACTGTTTTTTGTGTTGTTGTCTTTCAACTGCACGTCTGTAATCAGGCCAAAATATCCATTTGGATTCAGACATTAAAAGCAAAATCCCTGTCTGGTTTGCTTTGTCTGCTTGGTTAGTTTTTTCCAGGACTCACTCTGGTTTGGACAGAAAATTGTGGTCCATGCCTGCACCCTGTGAACTCATATTGGGAGAGCAGTCAATACTTACTCATTGGATGCACAAAAACCTTGTAGGGTTAGAGGAGAACCTTCACATGGGCAACTGGTACCATTGGGCTACATCAGTTGTGAACAGGCATAAAGTGAACACTGTCAGCAGACTGATTACAGAAAGGAAATTATTTTAACAGCAGTATTTTGGAATGATTCTGTCCAAGCTTTTCATATAAGTGGTCATCACTCGAAGTGGTTTCCGCTGTAAATGACCCATTGAGATACAAAGCAAACCAAGGTTAAACAGGGATTCATGTGTCTTTGTCGGCATTTTAATCCACTGTCACAGGTCGTAGGCACAGTTCATTGGTTTAGGAGGGAAAATCGAGGAAAATCCTCGTTTGATAGTGGCTGACCCAGTTGATGGCATTTGCCATATTGTTTGGGTGTTGATTAATCCTTATGCAGCTTCAACAAAACTGACTGCGGCGTGAAAGTGGAGCAACAGAAAGGCCTGGTGCCAAAGCTGAAGCACAGCACACGTAATATGTGTATGAGGCAAAATCTCTCTGAGCCTGTGCTTGAGATGGCCACAGGTTGTACACACACACACACACACCCACCCACCCACACACACACACACACACACACACACACACACACACACACACACCCACACACACACACACACACACACACACTCACAGACAGACAGACACACTCCCTCCTCCTCCTACTTGTCTCCCTTTATCATGCATTTCCTCCCAGATCTGATGTAGTGGTGGGAGGGTCAGGGGCAGAGGGTGCACAGGCATTATTAAGCCCACTTGAATTAACAGAACAGCCCCCAGCCTTTCCTCTAAAGCCTCCAGCTGGGGGGAGCTTAATCCCCATGGTCCCCTGTCTCGCCCATTAAACAACCCCCCCACCCCCACCCCTGTTCCATGGCTCTGCTTCAAACACACACACACGTGTTCGTGTGTGAGCGGAAGGCCTGGCTGTGTGTGTGTTTGTGGGTGCACTGGACATAACTGCATTCACATAGACACAGAAGAAAACATGTGTGCGACTTTAGAACACACAAACATACACCTTTGTGCTACTCTCTGCTGGTAATTATTGCTCTAGTACATGCATACAAATAGAGGGGATTTTCCCTTTCACCCATACATCAACAACGAGGAGAGACACACACACGCACGCGCGCACACACACACACGCACGCACACATACATTCACAACACATACACAGACATTCTTACTGGCCTCAAGGGTCTTATCTGCTTTTTTGTATCTGGGGAACAAATTGAATGTGGGGCTTGACACACGCAGGCCAGCAGATGTCTGGGTCGTTAAGGTTAGGCCAGCTGATTAGCATGACAAACAGAGCGCCTCCACCACCACCACCAAAATACTCCCACCCCGCAGGAGGCCCTGCTTTTGAGTGGCGAAGTTGAGGCCATGGGTCACAGGTGATGTTGATTTTTGTGGAGGGCCACAGTGCATGATTGTCAAAATGCTTTGCGGTCGGTTGAAAAGGAGGGATGTAGACTGGTGCAGCCCTTCTCTTGTTGAACACACACAGGCACGGACTCAAGATGATACATGTGAATACACATTCAAATACA